ACATAGACCTTGTGCAGAAACAAGATCCTAAAAACCTTGGACAGTCAAAAAACCCACTTGCATGATCTCAAAGGACAATGACAGTGGTTTTCTGTGAGCTGAATTTGGTGAGGGTGAAGTAACACCACATGAAGACTCAACAGTCATGTAATAGCCACTGTGTATTAACCCACTGAATGGGAAGCATTCACATTCACCACAGCGTGTGGTCATCCAAAGCTTCTTGTGTCAAGAGTACATGCTGCTGATGAGAAACTTTGGGCCAATGGAAATCCTTCAGTCCCACTGCTAGAGAGCAGAAAGTGGCAGAGGTGCAGAAGCAAATCCCATTTGGGGTCAATTCATAAAACATCTCTATAGCTTGTTTCTTTAAATCTTATCTGTGCACAAATAAACACAAACATGCTGACAAACTGGTTGAGCAGCTGGTGTGGTTAACAGCAGAAAAATCCCTGCACCATCTTCCTATAGCTGCTTGTTTCAGTCTCACACAATTTATACCAAATTAACCCATAACAGATCTTTACCAAGGCAGGAATGATGCACAGCAAAGCAGCTGCTAAATGCTCCAAGGCCAGAGGTTGGGGTGGAGGGGAAAATAGAAGTCCTATCAACTATTTGGTGGGCACTGAATTCACAGGAATCCTGTGGAGCTAAGGGATGGGATAACTCATTCACCATGCTCAGGACTGCAAGAGCAGTGAAAAGACAATAAGTGCTGTTGTAGGGGAAGGAATGGACACAAGAGGAACAGTGAACTTTGCAGTCACCAGCAATGGTAGGACCAAATGCAGCTTGGCTGTCATATCAATTACAAATGAGATAGCTGCGACCATCACAAAGCAAAGCCCCGGACATCTGGAACATATCCTCATACGAGACACAGTTAAAGTCCAGTAGCATTCCCAGTGCTGAGAAGTGGTGGGAAGGGAGGGAACAGACAACGGAAAATACTTAAGGCAGTGTTAGAAGGAATAAGTGCTATGAGAAAGGATGGAGATGTGTGGACTGATTTTTCTGTACAATCTTTTTCTTCCTTCATTTGCTGCTTCCAATGAAGGTTAACAACCATTCCCAAGGAAAAAGAAAAAATAAAAATAAAAAAATTGGAAAAGGGAATTCTAAGAAATAGCTTAAAAGAGAAGGAGCAATTTCAGATCCAAACAGCTCATTCTTATGCATCTTGGGGGAGAAATACACAGGCTTTGCCCTCTCATGTGAATACACTACTTGGTTTTGAGTTACTATTTTAAAGTCACAGAATGGTTAGAGTTGGAAGGAACAAAAATTAAAGGCCACCACTTCCCACAGCCAGTTCATTCCCAACCCTCACTGTACTATTGCTTTTTTTCCCTCCTCGAAACACAAGAAAACTGGATCCAAAAATCTTTCTCTCACATTTTATTGATAGTAGTTTAAGTAAAACAAACAAAATCAGACTAACACCAGCCAAACACTCTTGAAAAAGCAAAAGTAGGGATTATTTTACAGCAGTACGCCCAAACAAGGAGTGCTTCAGCAGCCTCACAGGATTAACAAGGAGCAGAGATATTCATCTGTTTTAATTATAGCTCCCAAACAGACCGTGGACCTACTATCACCTCTTGCGATGAGTCATCTGCAAGATGTCAAGAACTATGCACTACCTCACAGAGCTCTCAGACCACCATCTGCTTAGTTAGATGCCTTAAGCCTCAGTTTTGTAGCATCCAAACTTCTTTTCTAGCCCTTCCTCCTGCAAGTCCCACAGCCCCATCAATCCAGTAGCTTCTGTTCCCAGAGCAGTTGTGTCTGTTTTCTTGCAGCCTGGTGAGAACAGACAGGACCCGAGATAATTAAATAAAAACACAGGAACTGCATTATTTGTTTTAAAGGAAAACGTGTTTTCTAGGAAGAAAGTGCTTTATTTGGGCAAATCTCTAAAGCTGTTTATCAGCTTAAACTCATTATCTGCCCATATGGTCTTAGCACTGTGGTTAGAAAAAAACCACTCTGGGCATGCAGGAGCTGGTGAAATGTCATCTGCCCTTTTGCCAGAAACCAGGATTTTTGCATTGACGTCAAATTGGGATCCTTGCCACAAGCGAAGGGCCACCATAAGGATAGTCATAATATTTTAATTATGAAGGGATCTTACAGAAGGCAGGGGCAAAGCAAGAAAAGCCATTCACAACAAAGTCACTTGATTCACTGTTTGCCTCTGCTCTTTTTGTTTGGGGAGGAGGGGTGGGGAAAGAACAACCTAACTTAGAAAGCAAAGGAAAAAAGGCAAGAGAATGAGACACTAGAGCCAATAAACACACATCAAAGCTGAAGATGGCTCCGCTTCAACTGCCTACAGTATTCAACCCGGGATAGATTAAGGCAAGATAAAAGGTGCTAGGAGGGAAAACACTACCCCTTCACTTGTTCAGCCCTAATGTTGAGAGAAGCCAAGATCCCAGCTGGCTCTGCTGAAGTACGGACCATAGACCTAGTTTTAGAGAACCCCACATCTATCCACCCACCGCTGGGGACCAGCTCCATGCAGGGAGGTGGTTTGAAGCCCTTCCTGCTCCCCCATTGAGCTGCTGCAGCGAGCAGGAGCTGGGTTTATTGATTCTGTGAGTCACAGTTAGCCACAGGACGCAGGACCAAAGGTTTAGCACAGGACATTAAACCTGACAGTCTGAGCTGTCAACTGGGTTATTCTGGGGAGGGAGAAACAAATTGAAGCCACAGTAACAGATGCTTCTCATGTTTTATGAACTGCAGTATTACTGCTGGTTACAGATACAGTTTCTGCCTTTTAGAACAGACCTGCAGTGCTGTGTATATGGAGTTGTTTGAATTAAACAACTTGGCAGAGAACTTCAGGACAGATCAGCATTTTCATACACATACAATGATTCCCATTTCCCTTTCGCCCCACCCTGAGAAGCATAATACACGTTAAAGCAGCCAAAAGTGAGATCAGGATAGAGTCATTCGTTGCCATCAGCTAAGGCGAGGATGCAGACATTCAGACCCCCTCAAACACACTCAAGCTCTTCTCTGAAGGAATGAAGTTGCTGGGATCTGCTCTAAGTTGTAAAGCAAGCCTGGAAACGGAAGGCTGGTGCTCTTCCCAGGATGTCTTATCCTTACAGCCCAAGGGGAATAAAGGGATTTCCCCGTGATTTACAAAGGAAAGCTGAAACACTCTGCGAGCCAAAGCCACCCCCAAAGCTCACCCTGCGCTCCGCACCTGCGGGGCAAGCGGAGCCTCGCATAAGGAGAAGAAAGCCCTCTCGTGGAAGCGGCCAGCATCGCGCACCCCAGACCTCCACCGACCTCTACCCTCGTCTGCGACCCCCTTAGAGCATCCCCCCGCTCCCCGTTATCCCTCGGGATGCGGACGGATGCTCTGCCGCCAGCGGTCCCTCCCCAAGGCACCACTACCCCTCCATTCCTCTGCACCAGCACCTCTCTCTCGGTCTTAAACACACAGTGTGGGTACCTGAGCCATTCGTGGACAAGGCCTGCTCTGCAGAAAGGGTGGGATAATCGATAGAAATCCTCTCTGGATTTTGCTGGCAGCCTGGAATAGCTCAGGAAATTTCAAGCTCTTCCTTTCTTCTTCTCGCCCCGCTACGCTAAAATTCATGGCAAAGTGTGATGTGTGGTATTCCAGCCTCTGCCAACAAAAGCTGTACCTCGGCCACAACAAATACAGGAACATTAACTGCCTTCCAGGGAGGGTCAAGCGTTTGAATCAGTTTAACATCCTATACAAATACTTCCAGTGAAAGCAGATGATACAGAAGCACTTCTGCACATTATGCTACATGGTCACATTTGAAAGAGTCTCCTCAAATGATGAGAAATATAAAGAACACGCTTACTCCCCCCTACTCTCTGTATACTTCTGAGACAGAACTTACAAAGCCATAGATACCAGAATAAGCATTACACTGGTAGAATCCATCAAACACTTGGACACATCCTGTTGAATTAAGACAGCTCTTTACTAACTTCACACACTTTTCACCCACTGGTATAATCCAGGGTTAGCCTGGGCTCAGTGTGTGTGTGTGCATCCCGCCGGGCACATAGCCCTTGCCAGCACGTTTCTGCCCAAGCAGCTTTGGTAGCCACTGGCTATTGAGTGAAATACGTGCCTAGAGTCTAGGAATTGCATTCAGATTTCCTCTTGTTACAGAAACACAAGCAGCAGTCAGGCTGGGCTTGCTAACTGCTGAGGGAAGGGCTAAAGGAAACAGGGAATTACGATTCAGACTTCACAGAAAGCCACCCAAGTATAATGCATCTGAAAACGCTGTCTCCTTGCTCACTACGATGTTTAAGCAGTAAAGTTATGGGAAAAACTTCACACTGCACAGCCCATAAAACCCGCACGTCTCGGTAGGGTTGTACCTCACTAACGTGTCCCCGCTGCTGTAAATCCCTATCAGAAAGCAGGGACTGACCCAGGGTGGCAGGACTGCAAAGTCTGAAAGAGAAAATTCCTACCGGACCGGACCCGAGTCAGAAACACGGGAAACTCTCACAAACCCCCCCCCCCCCATCCAAACTTCAGCGGGTAGAACGCCCCACAGCGCTGCGAACGGGCGGCAGAGCTCCCAGAGCACAGCCCGCGGGCACCGGCGCCTCCTCCGCTTGCCTTTAGGAGGAAGCGGGGAGGGGGGGATAAAATACTAAAGGTGTACTAAGGGTATAGAATGCTCCCAGACCCCCCGAGACGCTCCCGGTACCGACGGGGAGCGCCTGCCGGGCTCCGAGAGGTGCTACCGGCGGGGCTCGCTCCGCTGCTCGGGGGGGAGCATTGCAACTCGCACTCCCGGTGCCCCTGGGGAACCCAAGCGGCAGCGGAGGGAGCCGAGACCCTTCCGTGCGAGCCCCAACCGGCGGCGTCCCAGTGCTGGGGGACGGAGCCCCGGCAGGGCTTGGCTGACGAGCGGCTGCTGGGGGCACCCCGGAGCGAACCCCAACCCGACCCGACGCGAACCCCGTCCCGTTACCTGCCGGCGGCTCCCCCCTCCCCGGGGGACACACGGAGCTGTCGGCGGGCGGCTCCCGGCGGCGCTGGGCTCCCACTGCCGTGCGCGCCCCGTGCCCGGCAGCCGCGGAGCGCCGGAGCGCAGCGCAGCCGGCTCCGCCCCATGGCCGTGCCCCTTCTCCGCCCAGCCCGGCCCGGCCCGGCCCTCCCCCGGCAGGAAACTTCCCAGGAGAACCCCCCCCAGCTCGGCTCTCGCTGCCTTCGGGGGCTCTGGGGAGCTGCAGCCCAAGGGGGTGGCCCAAAGGCGGCCACTGGGACCCTTCCGCTCGGGGGTGAGTGGTGAGCGCGATGCCCTAGGATGCTCCAGTAACTCCTGATGGGCTTCGGGTGCGCTGGGAGTGCAAAAGAAAGAGAGCGGGAAGGTCGCTTGTTGGCCGGTATTAGTGAGAGCTGCCTAAACGCGTTGGAAGATGTGTCAGAGCCGCTTCAAACAAAGGATGACACTGCAGGATTGGAAAGGCTGTCAAAAAAAGCCTACCGAACCGAATGAAGAGCCCGTTTTTGTACCACGGGGAAAGCCAACATGCCTAAGCCTGGTTTCCTAAGGAAAAATGGCTTGTAAAGCTGTGCTCCCTGTGCATGCCAGTAACTTCTGAGCCAATGATTTCAGCTAAGTTTGATAACTGCAAAGCAGGTAACTGTGTAGAAGAGATCATCTCTTCTACTGCTCCTGCAACATCCCTAGTTCAAGAGCATCCAAAACACACCAGGGAGGGGTCAACATGACTCTCCCCGAAGGAAACCCCACTTATAGAATCATAGAATAGTTAGGGTTGGAAAGGACCTTAAGATCATCAAGTTCCAATGCTCACAAAAGTCCTTGCTGGGTTGGAGAGAAAGAAATTGAGGGAGGGAAAAGTGTGTGGAAGTAACACTTAACTCTCAGTAGCAATGGATAGCCCAGGAGCAAGATGTTAGTAAATTGGACTCTGTGCTCACATGTAGCAAGAGAGAGAATAATCCCGCAATGACCAGATCCTGCAAGTGGTCCTGGGTAGATGCATCCTCATGCTAGTAACATGTCCTGGTTATGATGCTCCATAAGATGGGGGATGCAGATCTGGACCCTGGAAGCTTATTAGAACAAGAGACTAAGCATGCAGAGCAAAGCAGAAAACAACCAGCATGCCTGTTTAAACATCTCTGCTAATGCTTCATATATCTGGTAATGAACAGTTACAACGCTCCCCAGGTACAGATATTTGTTGGCATTGGCTTGCTGTCTTTTCCTAAGGTAATCTAAAAATAGGGAGGTACACATAGAATTGAACAGCGATGGTCCCAAACCTAATTCTGTGTAACAGCAAAAACTAGATCGCACAAGCAGATCGTCTTTGTAATGTACGTTTTGTTACAGCCTATTGCTTGAGACAGGCAATCATTTCAAGGTCTGGTATTTTCTCGTAATGTTTGGGCCCGTGTTTTTCCATTTCTGTTTCACTGTTCATTTATTTGTGTCACACAGCATGATGCTTGGTCTCCTTGGTCTTTGTGGCAGAGTAGGGGATTTCCATTTCTTTATTAGACACAGTTTGACACGAGGTAATAGCCTTGTTCCTCATTTGATTCCTTTGCAAAGGACTCCGAGTTCTATTTTCCAGGAGGCTGGCTTGTCATATACCCCTTGAGCCGCAGATCATGGTTCTTTCAGGCTGAGATTGCATTTGTGCTTTGCAAAGCTGTCAGATTGAGCTCTGTTGGTCTTCCTTGTGCACTCCCCCATAGCAATCTCATGTATTTACCCCTGCACTCTCACAGGACCATTCCAGGACCCCACATGTCAGGCAGTTTTGCTCTGTAGAAGCATGGAATGGTTTGGATTGAAAAGGACATTAAGACCATTAAGCCATGGGCAGGGACACCTTCCACTAGAAGAGGTTGCTCCAAGCCCCTGTGTCCAACCTGGCCTTGAGCACTGCCAGGGATGGGGCAGCCACAGCTTCTCTGGGCACCCTGTGCCAGCGCCTCAGCACCCTCACAGGGAACAATTTCTCTCTAATATCTAATCTAAATCCCCCCCCTTTCAGTTTAAAGCCATTCTCCCTTGTCCTTCACCTTGTACCTGAATAAGCCACGAAAACATATTTGTGTCTGTCTGGCCACCCAACTCCTGCCCCTGTTTGGTGGCCTAATGCACAGATCTCATGCACAGCGTTTCTAGGAAACCAATTAGGGTCAGTCCTGCCCCAAACACCATAGTTTGAAACAGCTCCAGGCTCTATAGACAAGATCCTTTCCTCATCAGGGACACTCTTGGCATTTTTCCACCAACTGCCCCCCTCCCTCCTCCTTCCAGTGACATCATTATTGGGATATTTTGGGGGAAAAAAGCACAGGGCAGTGTATCCCAAGGCTTGTTTTCTGTTTTCCACCCTGATGCTGTGGAGCTGTTTCATAAATGAACAAAAGTCAACTATATGTGACCCCAGCTTTCAGATCCTCCACATGCTTGCGTAGACACAATAGTGCTCTTACATGCTCAACTGTGCAATTTAAAGGGCCACCATTGAAAATTAGCTTCCCGAGTTTATAGTGCTTTCACTGTGGAGAAGGAACTGCTTTGTGAATCCCAGCCAGCACTGAACTGAGTTTTGCATTTAAAGCTGGGGTTTACGTTCTTTGTTATGTGTAAAGGATATAGTATATCCTCTGTGAACCTACAGCATAAGAGTAACCTTGGATGAAACCTGTTTAATGACAGTAACCTTGCAAGAGGGCTGGTTTACTTGTTTGCTGATAAATAAATTGCTGATTTGAAATGAGAACGAGGAAATAGTGCCATGGTTTAGCCCAAAACACTAATGCCACTTTCCCCTGTTTCAGAAGTGCCTGGAGCTGCAGCCCTCCCACTGTCTGAAGGGTCTGTCCCTTGAATATTACACCACATACACCATAATCCGAATAGTCTCTCTGTTATACTTCTGATAGGTTTAGGTTTTCAGAACCAGAAACCACAATGTGGGGAAGCTGTGAACAAATTGGGGCAGGTTCCTCCCTGTTGTAACTGTGTGGATGTTGGGAGAATTGAATTTCAATCCATACAGCTAACCCACTGCTTATCAACCCTTTCCTGTCTGTGCTTCACATCTTAGTTCTCAAGTTCACAGTTTCCCTGTGGCTTCCTTCCCCTGGCCTCCCCACCTTTCCTCCCACTTCCTTTGCCTGCAGACTCCTCCCTTTCTTATCCTATTATTTTCTCTTGGTGTTTCTACTAATGTCTTTCCCAATTTGCTGTGGAGGTGGATAAAGCAGGAATCCAACCACGATCCAGCTTGGCTGTGGTTCCTAGAGCTGGACTGACATAGCTCGTTGCCTAGGCAGATGGGTAGAAGGAAACTCTCTGGCATCTGCATACTGGAACCTGAGTACCAGTCTATTTCCAGATAACCACGGCACATTCCAGGAGCAATCTGTGCTCAGTTGGAATCACACAGTGTTATTAACTCTGCCATGAGACTGAATGGCACTTCTGACAGTGCAAAACAAACAAGGTCCTGGCCACAAAGACCTGAAGATGACAAACTGGCTGTCTGAACCCAATCACCTGCTCCCAGATGAAGACAGCAAAGCGAGTGATCCTCTTGTTCTCCCTAAATGTCAAGCACCTGCAGTGCTGACTGAAGGCACACTCATCACCATGCTCCTCATCTGCTCTCACACTGCATTCCCAGTGCCCCTCCATCAGGCCTGGGAAAACAGCATGAGGGGGCAGTTGATGTACTGGTAGCGAGAGGTTTGTTCGAGCTTCATTATTAAAATCATAATTAAAACCAGTGTATTTTCTTCAACCCAGTTTTGTTTTCCCAGGCTCAGCTGGGATGAACCAAAGCTGAATTGTTTTTGAGCTGGTTTCTTTGTCAATGACAGCATTTCCCGAGCATTTTCATCCCAGGAACAGCTAACATTGTGGAGGGCAAAAACATCACAGGCCCTCATGCAGCTTTGCCAAGGTAATTCTTTATTTAATCAAGAACTAAGCTGTGTTTTGAATGTTCATTTACAGGTTTACTTTTCTCAACTTGATCACACAGTAATATATATACATGTTTTACTGAACAAGCATGTTTCATCATCATCTCACATATGACCTTCTCATGGCTCTCAGACCCACAGACCACTTTTGCTTCTAGGCATGCTCTCCTTAAGGTTATCCAACCCATGAACATCACTTCATACTCTTTGAGATACTCGCATAGGTAGAGCAACTTCCCTAGATGCTTTCCTGCCCACCTCCCTCCTTCCTTGCCTTTGAAGTTGCAAGGCTACACAAAAGAACTGGCAGTGGTGCCTAAATCCAAAACCGAGGAAGCACCGATTGAATGAACCCTTGGACTCTGAGCAGAAAAATCCCTATTAAGAGGATTCTTTGTAATAATTTTAATATTCAACATTGAAGGGATTCTATTAAAGCAAAAGGAACATATTTAAGATGATAGTCACCTCCACTCCTAGTAACAGGTAAAGCTGCGTATTACTGTGTATTATCCCTTCATCAGGGACTATAGCAACAGGATAAGGGGTAATGGGTTAAAACTTGAACAGGGGATATCCTTAAAGGATATAAGGAAGAAGTTCTTCCCTGTGAGGGTGCTGAGGTGCTGGCACAGGGTGCCCAAAGAAGCTGTGGCTGCCCCATCCCTGGCAGTGTTCAAGGCCAGGTTGGACACAGGGGCTTGGAGCAAGCTGCTCTAGTGGAAGGTGTCCCTGCCCATGGCAGGGGTTGGAACTGGATGAGCTTTAAGGTCCCTTCCAACACAAAGCATTCCATGATTTTACTGAACTGAAAAAAAAAAAAAAAAGAACCACAGAAAATATCCTCTCCACTCTTTGCTTTTTTATTTTAAGTTTCCAAAAATGGAGCCTCTGCCAAAGCCCCAAGATTTCCAACTTTGTGCACATCCTTTGAGAAAGTTCTCAATGTTCATTATTTCCTCTGAAATTCGCAGCCGAGCTTTTCCTGTACTTCTTGAACCCTGCGTGGAAACAAACTCTGTTTCCCACAATCTTTTCAGTAATTCTCACTAAGGACAAGCAAAACGGAGGCCCCCATCACACCAGATGGTTTAAATATGACAAGAGAGATAAATACAGAGGATCAGTTATCCCCATTTACAAATAGGA